AAAAAGAAAAAAAGAATGAAGCAAACTTCCTTATTAAGAAACTGTCAGTCACCCCAGCCTTCGGCAAATACCACCCTAATCAGTCAGCAGCCCTCAAAAAGACCCACATCAACAAAGATTATAGCTCACTGTAGGCTCAGGTGATCTCTAGCATCTTTTAGCAATATTTTAAAATTAAGGTATATACATTATTTTTTTAGACATGTTATTGCAAACTTAATAGACTGCACTTTAGTATAAACAACTTTTATATGCACTGGGAAACCAGAAAATCTGTGTGACTCTTTATTGGTGTTCTGGAACCAAACTCGGAATCTCTCTGAGGTATCCCATAGTTGGTGGCGTATATGTTCCTGTTTCATGTGTAGTCCTTTCCCCAGTGCGAGTTACTTTGTAGGACTTGCAGTAACTTATTTTAAATGCTCTTTGTTTGTATAGGAGACTTGGGCCAAAGTAAACTACAGGTAACTCCTGGATTTTTTTTTTTTTTTTGTGAGACAGTTTTAGCTCTCGTTGCCCAGGCTGGAGTACAATGGCATGATCTCGGCTCACCGCAACCTCTGCCTCCCAGGTTCAAGCGATTCTCCTGCCTCAGCCTCCCAAGTAGCCAGGATTACAGGCATGCACCACCATGCCTGGCTAATTTTGTATTTTTAGTAGAGACGGGGTTTCTCCATGTTGGTCAGGCTGCTATCAAACTCCCGACCTGGTATCCGCCCACCGTGGCCTCCCAGAATGCTGGGATTATGGGCGTGAGCCACCGCACCCGGTTACTCCTGGATTTTTCAAACCTGGCTTTCACAGGTAGAGCTAATTCAGGGACAGGATCATGCAGAAATTCACAGAACGATGAGGGTCTCTACGGTGTTTCTTGGGGAAAGCATGTTGTCCTACCCATAAAATACCACCCAGTGTGCTAACAAGGTACCATGGGTTGCTCAATGTTGGATTTAATTTAGCTCCTCCTTGGGTGGTTGGCTATTGTACAAAATTTACTTTGACAATGCTTTCAGATTTGATGAAATGGTGGCTTTATCTTTTGTAATTCCTCTGGACTTTGTAATTTTAAAATTTAGAGTGGGAAATCTTAGAGCAAGCAATCTTAGAGTGGGAAAAAATTAAAATGTGTTAAGGCACCATTTCTAATATATTAAAATAAGTATAAGGAATACTTAAGAAATAGGTATAAGGAACTCATCTCATACCATTATTTGGGAGAGAAAAAATCTAATTTGATAACTTCCACATCTGCCTGTGGTTCACGTCTTGATGTCATTAAATAGAGTATGAAATCAAAGAAGGGTTTTTACTCAAACCATTTACTGTTCATTTCACTCTATGCATAAAATATTTCAGAAATTACTGTCTTAGTAATTTATTCTGCAACAAAGACATGGAATATCCATATTTCCCTTGTATGGTGGTTGTGATGATTGGGTTAAGTGACTTGACTGTGAAGGACTCAGAATACTGCCTGCCATGTGAAGAGTTCAATGAATATTGGTTATTACCATCTTCTTGTACTCGTTGGAAACAGGAGTGGCATTTTTTGGTTTCCTCATTACCTACCCCAGTTGCCTTGCATGTGGCTCAATATTTAGCCATTGACTACAATTCAGGGTTTTCACATTTACACTCTGGCTTTTATCCAGTCTGAATAAGTTATCTGATCACCAGAACTTACAGTCCTTTGGCCTCACTTTCAGGGTCTCTGAGTCCTGAAAACATTCCCTCTACAAGAGTGGAACTCCAGTTGGCTGACTTTCTACTTATCTGAAAAGAGCAGATGGAAGGAATTTGTCATTTTTTCTCCCTAAGTATCTTATCATCTCAGAATGTTACTACTATAGTCTATGTGGTTATAGATTTTAAAACAATATTTTGTCTACCTTTTTTTCCCCCTTATTCACCACTGATCAGGATTTTCTCTAAAAACATAAATACAGAGCATTTTCTGGGGTACTTATTTCAGAATTACAAATGTATAATTTTAGCCTCTTAAAGCAACAGCTAGCCACAGTAAAATGGCTGAGTGCCTGGGACTGGGAAACAGGCTGCCCAGGTTCTAGTCATGGCTTCCCCATTTTATTTGCTGTTAGATATTTGACAGATAATGCAACTTAACCTCTCATAGCTTCAAACTCTTTGCTGTAAAATAAGGTCCAAATCTATTCCAGAGTTTTTGAGACAGTAAATGGCAAACTCCTATGACAGTACTGAACCCACAGCAAGCTTTCAGTACATTAGTTATTTTCAGCACTGAAGATTATCTAAACTACTTCCCAAGCTGCAGTCTGTGAACCAGCAGTATCATCCTCATCTGGGAACTTGTTAGAAACGCAAATTCTCTTGTCTACCCCAGATCTAGTGAATCAGAAACTCAGGGGGTGGGGTTCAGCAGTGTGTTTTAACAAGCCCGCCAGTGAGTCTCATGCACACTCATGTTTGAGAACCACCAACATAGACTGGAATCCTACCAAGCGCTCTCTTCCCTCTCAAAGAAAAATATTCCCACAGTAAATCCATTAAAATTCAGATACACTAAGTTAACTGATAAGATGACTGGATTCTTCCTATATCTGAATAGTTTCCCATAAAAATGACTTATTGAAACTGGTTTGCCCTCCTATCTCAATCGTGTCTTCATTACAGCTTCTCTGCGCTCAGTGTCTCCTTTATGAAATAAACAGCCATCTCTGTCCCTGGAAGAAGTGTGTCAAAAGATTTTAAAGAGATAGGCATTATTTCAAGGCAATATATTATTTTAAAATATAAATAAAAGTGGAACTTATTGAAACTGAAGGTCTTGGCTTGTCACCTATCATAGGAATGAAATATAGTTAAGTTCAGAGATAATTCTACAACTTAAAAATTTTGGTCACTAATTTTGGTGTTTACCTGTTTTCTCACAGAATTCACAGAAATATTAAATTTCTGTGATTCTGATTGCTATACTTAAAACTTGAAAGCCAACAAAGAAATGTTTGTCAAGTTGTCAACAAGGAGATTTTTGAAGGATGTAATGGAAACTGAATAAGGAAGTCTGAGGCAAAAAGTCTAACATCATTGTGACATATATAAAAGATGACACTACTGATCCCCTTATAGTTTTATTAATAACTATTATTTTTCATATACTGGTTGCACTGACTCATTTTTGCTCTTTTATTTTTTAGGCAGATGGTTGGTTTTTGTAGGATTAAGCAGTGAGGAAAAACAGCAAACTAAAAATGCTACTTCAAATATAGCACCAGTCACCACATAAGGCTTAAATCAATATATTGCAAGTAATTTCTATGAATGTTGAACAATGCAACATAGTGTATGTGAAAAGATCTTGCCTAATAAGTTTCATTCTACTCCTCAAAGTTACTGAAGTCAGTCAACTATTAATAACAGAATTTTTATAGAAAGATTCCATCTTCTTTACTGTTAGATGTTATACCTGTCTTGTACTGTGATAAAATAATGAGCATTGTGCATCACACCTTCTGATAATCTCATACTTCTATAAATACTGAAAGAAATAATCACTCTTTTAAATTTAGAGAGAGTGGGTTTTAGGCTAACAATTTGTTTCTTCTTTCCAAGACAGAGTCTTGTTCTGACGCCCATGCTGGAGTGCAGCGGTGCAACCTCAGCTCACTGCAACCTCTGCTTCCCAGGTTCAACCAATTATTGTGCCTTCACTTCCTGAGTAGCTGGAATTACAGGTGTGTCCCACCATGCCCAGCTAATTTTTGTATTTTTAGTAGAGACAGGGTTTTGCCATGTTGGCCAGGCTAGTCTCGAACTTCTGACTTCGAGTGATCTGCCTGCCTTGGCCTCTCACAGTGCTAGGATTACAGGCCTGAGCCACCATGCCCAGCCTCTAACAACTAATTTTAATGAGTATTACTGGACTAGTCTACAGGTTCACTGAAAGAAAGGCTACCTGTGAAGATGTGTTTAATTAGCTTTTGCCCTCATATCTCAATTCTGTCTTCATTACAGCTCTGTGCTCAGTTTTTCCATTTATGAAATAAATACCGCCATATCTGTCCCTGGAAGAACTATGCCAAAAGATTTTAAAGAGACAGGCATCATTTGAAGGCAGTATTATTTTAAAGTATCAATATTACATTTCTTGCAAAGAGCTGCTGAAAGTTAGTTCTCGGTTTTTTGCGCTTTTAATGAGTTTATTCTGTCAATTGGGAAAATATCAACTTCAAAATCTAAATATATGCCATAAAATGTTGGGACAAATTTTGAGTTGAAGACAGCAGTACAAACTCACATTGAGCTGTGTACACACCTACAATAATAATTACAGATGTGTACATATGCATGGGTTAATATACCTACGTATTTCTCAATTCTGCTGCAAACAATGACATCCCAGTAGCAACAAGCACATCTAATGCCCAGTTCTTGGTTTCTAAGTATGATTCTCCAACAAAAGGAACCAGGGCTCTTTGGAGGAGGGGTTGATTCTAGGGATTCTAGCATTGGGGCAGGGAATATACAAGATGAACCTGGAGCATCTTGTAGTGCCAGAAAGCAAGGAAGTGCTCAAAAATCAAAAGGATGGGCACATCAAAGGGACATAGCAGCCAACCTGGCAGAACTCCTAATAGCCAAGCTGGACAATTTAAGCAACAAATAAATACTGTGTTACCCAAAATACAAAATATACATGAGTCCATACTGATATAAACAAATTAGAGTGGGAGAGAGAGACAAATTTCCCATATGCAAAAATTCCAAATACTACATATGGATAGTCCCACTTCCAGGAGGTTGAATGTAATCTTCCCCACCCACCACCTCCCATGACTGGACTTAGTGACTGTTTTCCAAAGAACAGAAGTATGGAAAGGGAAAATAAACAGTAATTTTCAGCAGCAAAAAGCAACACACACTACCTTAACCAAGTGTCCAAAGTTAATACACCATCAAGCTGATAGCATGTAACTCCTGACATGATGCAGTGAGAAGGACCTTCACCTCTGGTATTCTTCCAAAAAATCCATAACCCCACTCTAATCATGAAGAAAACATCAGACAAACTCAAATTGAGGCACATTCTACAAAACACCTGATCAGTACTCCTCAAAACTGTCAAGTTTATGAAAAAGAAAGACAGTGGAACTATCACAGACCAGAGACTAATTAGGCATGATGACTAATTCAGTGTGGTATCCTAGACTGGATCCTGGAAAAGAAAAATGACATTAATTAAAAAACTAGCACAATCTGAAAAATAAAGTCAAGTTCTGTTAATAGTAATTACCAATATTGGTTACTTAGCTTCTGACAAATTCTTCACGGTTAAATAAAAGGTTAACACTAGGGGAACTGGGTGAGTGGTCACAGAAGTGCTCCATGTATCTTTGCAACTTCTCTGTAAATCTAAAAGTATTCCAAGTTTTTTTAAAAATCTGAACATAAAAACTGTTTCTACTGATTTTTGTGTAATTTGTGATCATGAATTATATTTTATAAAGATATTCTGAGTTTGTCCTTTTGAGAAAGCCAATGCTGCTAACAAAATCCATGAATTCATTATAAGTGTAAAGTTATCTGGACAAATATTTCAATAATAAATATTGATAAACCATTAAGTTTTTTTTTGTTTTTTTTTAAGATAGAGTCTTGCTCTGTTGCCCAGGCTGGAGTGCAGTGGCACGATCTTGGCTCACTGCAACCTCCACCTCCTGGGTTCAAGTGATTCTCCTGCCTCAGTCTCCTGAGTAGCTAAGACTACAGGCATGCGCCACTACGCACGGCAAATTTTTCTATTTTTAGTAGAGATGGTGTTTCGCCGTGTTGGCCAGCTGGTCTCAAACTCCTGACCTCAAGTGATCCACCTGCCTCAGCCTTCCAAAGTGCTGGGATTACAGGCATGAACCACCATGCCTGGCCGATAAGCATTAATTATTAATAATGGCTTACAAAACTGTATCTTTTATAAAGGTTTGAAATAAAGAATCAATTGAGGATTCCAAACATTTAAGAGGAAGCCCAGTTTGCTCACTTAGCCACAAGGCATACATGCGCCTTGTCTCAGTGGAACAGCTGCCACCAATTCAAGTTGGAAGATACTAGGTTCCTGGCAATGACACATCTCCAAAGTTAGGAACATGGCCCTTTCTGCAGAACATATTTTTCCTTCTTCCCTGTTCTACCTGTAATGACTTACAAAGAACCGCCTCTCCCTATGCTGTCCTTCTCTGACTTTGAAAGTCATTTCATCTTAATAACTTTGGCCATGGGTTATACCCAAAGGATATATATGGCTTGAGGTCCTGGGCTACGGAAAGGTTAACAACCAGTAGTCAGAAAAGACCAGTCTAGGAACATAACTGAGCATTCCAAGAGATTGAAAAGTTTTCCACATTCATAGACATCTTCAGAAGCTGTTGAAATTTTCTGGGATTTGCTCTAAACATATGGTAATAATTTTCAATATAAATAGGAGATCTACAAGAGGCAGTTATTTATATCTTGCCTTTTCCATCCCTTTGGCTCTAGTTAAAGGGATGCTTTGATACTGAAAAGCAGTATCAAGCACAAATTTTAGTAAGACCACAGTTAGTAAAAGGTTATAGTCTTTAAAAAATCTATGACAAGAAACAAGTGCTGGGAAATAAATAACAAGGCATAACAGCAAATAGTGCCTTGATGTATTATGTTAAGTATCTTTTCATTTATCTCATTAAATCCATCTTTTCTCCAACTTAACAAAGGTTATAGCAAAAGATAACATTTGTCATGTGAGTAGCTCATAAAATAGGAGTGGCTATGCTTCTGAATCACATTCACATCACCTTCTAGGCATATTACATAATACTCAGCTATCCTGGATTTGCTCCCTACGAGGTTATCAGCTGATGGTTCCAATTTTACAACTGGAAAAATGGAAACCTTGTCCTTGTAAGTAGTCCTAATGGAAATGGGACTTACTCATATGCTCAACGGGCTACAGAGAAACAACATATTATGTTGTACTTTAATGACATATTATGTGTAATTAAAATAGAAAAAAAAAGTCCGTTCCTTCTAGGCATAAATGTGTATTTAAAATTTCATACTAAACAAATACTTGTAAGTAATAATTTCCCCATATTTCCAAATAAGATAATGTTGCATAGACCTTATGAATTTTATATTTGATCTTTTTGGTAAATACGGTTGTGAAAATTAAGTTTATATTCTTCTTTTCAAATATTCTCCGCTTAACAAGCACTTGTTTTTGATATTGGTCAAGACGTTTGGCATAATAAGTTAGGAAGCAATGCCGGAGAAGATACCTGAGAAGACAAGTGTGCCCTCCCCTATCTCCCTCACTTTTTTTTCTTTGAGGTTTTAACATCAAGATATAAATTATTGTAAGGTCTCAAAATAATCCTTTCACAAAAATAAGACAGTTTTATGTTGTAAAAACATTAATTATTTGTCAAAGGTGATGTTCTTCCATCTTCATCTGTCACCAGCTGTCAGCATCTCCTTTAAAGATCGGTTTTTTCTTCATAATGACACCTGCATGCAGCTCGTTGGCTGTCCAGATATGGTTTACAACCCAAATGTATAACACTGTCAAACAAGAGTTCCACTGTTGTTTCACATGCTGCAAAATAAGAAAATGGGATTACTGTTGGGCAACTGCATTGCTCTCTTTTCACCTATGTTACACATTATGGCACAGCAACAAGCATATCCCTCGTGAGCACTGAAATGTATTCTAGATGAAAGTCACCAAACTCTCACAAGCTGTAGCATATTTACATACACACATGTAGATATCTATAGACTTCCAGTTTTAGTCTCTTTATCATGCATCTTACTTTTTGTATGCATTCAACTGTTCAACCCAATTTTTTTTTTTTGAGACAGTCTCACTCTGACACCCAGACTGGAGTGTCATGGTGCAGTCATAGCTTACTGCAGTCTCCACATCCTGGGCTAAAGGGATCCTTCCACCTCAGCCTCCTGCGTAGCTGGCATTACCATGGCCAGCTAATTTTTAATTTAAATTTTTTAAATTTAATTTTTAATTTTAAACAGATACACAACACCACATCCAGCTAATTTTTTTTTTTTTTTTTTTTTTTTTTAAGGGGCGATGAGGTCTCACTATGTTGCCCAGACTGGTCTCAAGCAATCCTCCCAACTTGTCTTCCCAAAGTGCTGGGATTATAGGCGTGGGCCACCATGCTTGGCCCAATTGTTTAAACTAGACAAATAAGAGTCTTTTAAAATAGCACTGATTAATCAGTGTTAACTTTCTTTTTATTTGAAAAACATAATCACTAAGAGATGTCTGATAATACTCTTAAATTTGCATTTTAAGAAAAAATGTTTTAGGTGCGGAAGAAACAAAGTGTAAAAATTGAAACCTCAAAACATTTCATTATGGCCAATGGCTTCTGAGGACTGATCATACATCAGTTAAGAGGCTTAAAGTAAACGGAATCCAATCTCTTTGACCAATGTCCTAATTTGACTTGGGGATATGGGAGCATAGAAATCAAAAGTACTTTTCCCCAGTCAGGTTTGTTTATTTGTTTGTTTGTTTATTTATTTTGAGACAAGGTCTCACCTCACTCTGTTGCCCAGGCTGGAGTGCAGTGGCATAATCTTGGTTCACTGCAACCTCTGCCTCCTGGGTTAAAGTGATTCTTCCACCTCAGCCTCCTGAGTAACTGGGACTACAGGCACCTGGCTAATTTTTGTATTTTTTGTTAAAGGTGGGGTTTCACCATGTTGGCCAGGCTGCTCTCAAACTCCTGGGCTCAAGTGATCCACCAGCCAAGGCCTCCCATTACAAGCGTGAGTCACCGCACCCGGCCCAGTCAGGTTTTTAAATTTTTTTAAGACTGTGAAAAGGTGATTTATTTACTTTTCTTATTCTAAGAAACCTGAAACATCCAGGTGAGATTATCTTAACATGTTACACTAAAAGAGATATAGCACAGAGTGACTTTTAGTTATCCAAATACTTTTAGTTTCAAAATATTCATGTTAAGGAAGAAACTTGTCATTACAAAATCTTAACATTTTCAAAGTTCTCCAAAAGACGGTGCCATTAAGAAACAACCAACCACAGAAGTGGAGAGGCTATGACTATTAAATAGGAGGTCACAAGATTATTGGTTTCACATTCTTCTTAGATCAGAAAACAGGAAATAAATCCATCTATGCTTCAGGTTTACAGCTAGTTTACTTTAGCCAAAAGCTGCAAAGGGAGACAGAGGCTGTGAATTCAAGATTACCTGCAGCAGAGATTTCTTCCTTGACATGAATTATTAGGATATTAGAATCAGGGCTATAATATGAGACTATTTGGAGAATACTGTGTAATAGACAGAACACAGATTTTAAAGTCAGGCTAAATGCTCACTTGGGGCAAGTTACCGTTTTCTAAACCTTCGTTTCCTTCCTTGAAAAATGGGGATAACACCACCTACCTCTTTAGGTTTCTGTTGGCATCAAATGAAAACATGAATAAAATATCTAGCACAGTATCTTATGATAAGTGCTTAAAATGTTATTTTCCTTTCCTGCCTTGCCTCTTCTGATTTCAGTGTATGATATGTTCTTTGGCTTGACAGTAGAGAAATATTATAACTATTAGTATTTGAATGGTGATTTATTTGTATTTCCACAAATACTTCGTTTCATCCTTATGACAACTCTATGAGATGAGTATCATCATTCTCCTTTTAAAAATGACACCAAAGGACCCTTTCCCTTTGCTAGTTTGGTTTTGTATCTCTTCACCATAATACCTCATGGCAGTGAGTACAACTATATGCTGAGTCCCATGAGTCCTCCTAGTAAATCACTGAACCTGGGGGTCATCTGGGGACCTTCCCAACAGAAACAGGTAAAGACAAGTCTTCTAGAAATTCCTACTCCAAATCCAGTGTGCAATACTCTTAAATTCACTGATGGTATGGTCTGAATGTTTGTGTCTCTTCGGAGTTGATGTTGAAATCCTAACCTCCAAAGTGATGAAATCAGAAGGTGAGGCCTTTGGAGGTGTTTAAGTTCAAAAGGATGGTGAATGTGATTAGTGCTCTTATAAAAGAGGCCCCCGAGAGCTATCTAGTCCTCTCCACTAAGTGAAGACACAGTTAGAAGGCATCTGCTGCGAACTAGAAAATGAGTCCTCATCAGACACCAAATCTGCTAGTGCCTTGATCTTGGACTTCCCAGCCTCCAAAACTGTAGAAAATAACTTTCTGTTGTCTGTAAGCCACCCAGTCTATGGCAGCAGTCCAGACGGACTAAGACAACTGGAATCAGAGTTTCAAACATTAGCTACTTTAGGTTGTTACATGATGACTGGAGATATATTTTAGGGTACAAGGTAGATGAATTCTTCTCTCTCTTGGCCTTAGACACCCCTACTCTCCCAAGGTTTCCTAATGCTTTTTGCTTCTGTGACTATAAATCATTTTAGATTACAAAATCATCAGCTCCTCACCTCAGAAAATTGAAGTCTGTGTCACAATAGATAATATATGTGAAAGATTTCTATTGACAAACCCTATACTAAAACATAAAGCATTTGATAAAACTTTAAAAAGTACACTCATCCCCAAGCCACCAGAACATCCTTACCCTGAACATGCTGAGTGAGTCCTAGTGTTTTCTGTACATCTCGGCAGATCTTGGAGAGGCAATATTGGAATTCCTCATCACAGTCATTCTTGCTTTTGCCACAGGTCTCATAGCACCTGTCGTGTTGGTTGCAACACTTTGTCAGGGAAGGGATACCAATGTTAAGCTGCAAAAGGCATTTGGATGGATTACTGTCAATGAAATGCAAAACTCCTCTGCTGAAGTACCACATTCAAATAGATTAAATAGGCATAAATGATAATGACTGCTGTATAGATAGTTCCAAAATCCATTTCTGCTACAAATATTTTCCGTGTTATAAATCTCCCCATTACACTTACCCACACCCACCCATGTTACTCTCTCAGCCATGCCTCACTGCTTCCTATTCTGCACAGGTAACACTCACAGTTACCTGTCAGTAACAAAACTTCCATTTGTCCAAAACACAAAACATAAGTTTTAAAAAAAGAAAGATAAATCTAAGTCCATTAAAAATTCTCCAGGGGCTAAGCAAGTATGATTTTTGGATATTCAAAGTGTTTTGTGGCCTCTCCTTCCAAATAAAATTTACTTTATGTGAAATATCACAGAAAACTTTCCTACAACTCAAATTTTGTTGTTTTTTGATCTTTAAATATTTCTCCATTCCCCGAAGATACTATTACTCTGAATCTATAACTTCAATTATTTTAAATAACTTTATACACAAAATCCTTGTGTCTAGGAATCATTCTCATAAACATTTTTTTCCCCATAATACTTGGCTTAGATCCAGTCACTCCTACAACCACCACACAGCTATCCCACTTAGTCTTGTTTTAATGTAGAAAACATGATTTATCTATACTTTTTCCCTCTAAGTAGTATTACTTCTGTACTCCAAACTTTTCAACTATGTATGTGATAATATTAGGAAATATCACTTAAATAGTATGAACATCTATAAGATTCAAAAATAAAACAACTTTACTTCATTTACTTTGGTTAGGAGTTTTGCCAAAAAGAATCTAATAAACCTGATCACTCTTATACCCAGCTAAATTATTTGTGAATCTAAGAGCATGCTGATAGTCTTATATCACCAAAAGTATTCCATGATTTACTAGTTATAAAACTTATCAAATAAAAGACAATATTTACATGAACACCAAACAGTGGAGAGCCACATCCATTCGGTGGGGAGGGTTTATAACCATAACGTGGGAAAGGCTTAGATCCTATAAAATATAAATGGTATCATAATTAATTTTCAAATATGATAAAAATAAAATAAATACTCAAAAAGGTCAATATGCTACATTAGTCTTAGAAATATTTAATATTTACTTGAATGCTAACATAAGTGCATATGTCTTTATTCTGATGAGCATTAAGAACGCTAATTAGACTTTTTATTTCTCCTGTGGTGAGGAATATATACAAATGTACACATATACACATATACACATATATAGCAATTCATAAAATGTAATTATTTGTAAGCGTATGCCATACGAAACATACAAAAGCTTATCCTGGACTTCTGGAGATTTCAGAGGTCACTTCCCAGATAGGGTTCATATGTATGAAAGAGAAACCCAAGCTGTTTTCCTGTACATTCTAACACTGTTTTTTAGAGCTAAGATAGTATCTTCCCAATCTCCCACAAATGCTTCATTGCATACAAACCTCAATAACCATTAACTAACCAGTTTACTTGGGCAAAGCCTAAGGCTAAGGAAGACAAGGTCATCTGATGATCATTTAATAACCTTAGTACTACAAGACATTACAGGACCACACAATCTGCCTGCTGCCCTCCCACTCGGTCAACCATTCCACAGATATACTCCTTTGCCATCTAAGGAAAAAGTTAAGAGGCATACTTGGTGAACTACGGTACTCCAGAAGTACTGCAGTTCTAATGAAGTACTTCCAAAGAACAGAAGACTTGGAAGGCTAATGCTCCCCAGTAGCATCAAGTGTTCAGCAACAAGGAAAAAGATGACATTATCATAGCAATCTTAAACTTTGGAAGGTACTTTAGAAACATCTCACCTCATTTAATACAAGCTTACCTCAGAGATACTGCAGGTTCAGTCCCAGACCATCACAATAAAGCCAATATAACAATGAAGCGAGTCACACAAATTTCTTTGGTTTTCCAGTGCATATAAAAGTTTGGTTTACACTATGCTGTAGTCTATTAAGCGCTCAATAACACTGTCTAAAAAAACCAATGTACAGATCTTAATTTAAAAATAATTTATTGCTAAAAAATGCTGACACAGATACTAAGTGAGCACATGCTGAGGGAAATATGGTGCCAATAGACTTGCTCAATGCAGGGTCGCCGCTAACCTTCGATTTGTTAAAAAACAAACAAACCACAATTATTTGTGAAGTGCATTAAAGCAAAATACATTAAAATGAAGTATGCTTGTATAGAAATCACTTCAACCTACCAGTCACCTACTGTCTCTTTGAATGTTTCCCACAACCCTCCTACATCAAGAAATAACCTATTCTACTGTGAAATGACATCAATTGTTAAGACATTCTTCTGCCTTCTTGTAAGTTCTACCTGTAAACAATCCTCTGCCCGTTGGGGAAACAGAAAAATAAGCCAACTCCCTATTTTACACAATGATCCTTTCAAATATTTGGGGCTACAATTTATCTTGCCTTCTAAAATGAGATATTCCCAGGTATTTTACCCTAAGACATGGCAATTTCCAAATATGACCCCACAGTTGGATACATATGAGTGACACAAAGTATTCTACCAATTTTCGTTTAACATTTATTGGTAGGAGACTTAAATAAAGACAAGGTTACCCTCCAAAAGTAAATTGAGGGTAAAAAAGCAACTCTTTCAGTAATCAACCATCAAAATAAGTAACCCCTCAAGGTAATAATTGAAAAATGGTTTCAGCTGGGCTCATGCCTGTAATCCCAGCACTTTTGGAGGTTGAGGCAGTAAAACTGCCTGAGCCCAGGTTTTTGAGACCAGCCTGGGCAACATGAGACCCTGTCTCTATTTAAAAAAAAAAAAA